TTGATCTGGATCTATAAAGTGACCTGAGATGACATGATGTGAATTGGAGCTATAGAAATAGACTGAATAGAATTGATCCGCATTAACTCATCAAGATGAGCTGATTTTTTCCAGCTCCACTTATTGAGCTGTTTTCCGGATGTATAATTAACCCATGCATTTAGAAAAAGTCTAAGTTAATATTAATAAATAGCTGAGTTCACCTAACATCAATTGTTTAAAAAGGGTTAAATACATTTTTCTGGATTTATTTAAAATGTTCATTTACAGGGAGTTCACTCTGTGAATCTGGTAAACACATTAGATGATACTAATGTTGTAGAATAGCTCTATTCTACAACATTAGTATCATCTAATGTTTATCTGTTCTGTGTTTTCCTTTAAGCTAAAATCAGCTGGATGTTTTCCTTTTTAATGAAATGATTAAATCAGCAAAATAACAATAATAAAGCTTAAACTCGCTGTCTGTCCTCTGCTGCTGGATAAGTTCCATGTTTTTAATTATCTCAGTAATTGTGTTGACCTGTGAAGCCGTTTAGCGGACAGTAAAAGCTCCGCGGTTTTCCCAGACTAACTCTGAACCACTAGTGAATTATTGACATTTTGGCCTCTGCTGTGCAGAGAGAAAGCTTACATAACTTCTATGCTTCCTTCGCTCCAACTGGGGGAGGCTGGAATTCAACCAGCCGCTTCTTTCCAGGTCCATCTGCAAACCATCAGGCTTCAGTTTTCTCTCATTTGCTTTTATTTGTGTGCAGAAATGAACTGGTTATTCCCAAAGGGCTGGCGTTAGCTGTCCAGATTCACAAATGGTTTTATTTTATTTATTTTTTGCTGTGCTTGCTGCTCGTTTATTCCTGTTTTGCCTTTTTTTTTTGCAGGGTGCTTAGAATCGGTACCCTGGAATGGTACCATGAGAACGTCCGTGCTCGCTTCAAGCGCTTTGGCAGCGCTAAGGTGATGCGATCACTCTTTAAGAGATTCAGCAAGGAGCACAGCTGCTCTCAGAGCGACCCTGGAGGTTAGTGCTCCCCTTAGCTTGGTTTATGGCGTTTCATGCAGCCAAAGGTTATAACAGCAATTTTAATCTTTGCTCCAGTTGGGAAAGTTGGGATGAAGTAAGAACACACACTGCAAAAACTATCTAGACACAAGTAAAAAAAACTCTTCAATTAATTGTATTTATCCTTAATCTGAGCAGTTAAATAAGATAATCTGCTGATAGAATGAATATTTTTACTCTTAAAATAAGATAATTAGATAATATGCACTAATAAGATCATGAAATTGTGTTTTTCTTATTATGGGTGTAAATGATCCTATTTATTGGCAAAGCGTCTCATTTACCTCCTAAATTCACAAACAAATGCACTTATTTAAATCTAGATAAGTCATAAATAAAAATGACTGATGTAGATTTTAGTTTTATCCAGTTCGTTTCTGTGCTTCTGCTCTACAAAGACTTTCTGAATTAGCTTAAAGATCAAACTCCCCCTGATTGACTGCTTGGTGAACATCTGTCAGCCTCCAGATATTTGCATGAAGAAGGAAAAAAGGGTGAATCAATGTATTAAGATGGTTTTCAGTTGCTTTAAACCTTAACAAATGTCCATCTGTTTCACTTCTTTCTCTGTGAGCCGGGGGGTTTGCTGCTGGTCAAAAGTTCAATCCTCCTCAGTTAGAAAAGTCGGCCATGAAGTCAGTTTGAGCTGCGAGAAATCCCCCCTAAATGAAAAGCTTCACTGAGATCCAGCAGCTGCATAAAGCCTCCATGAGGCCCACTCCCACTCACTGCAGCACGTCCATCAGCATTGCACGGCTGAACCGGATCAACATGAGGAATTCAGAGACGTTCTAAAGTCGCTCTGAGACGACAGTCAATGAACAACATCTGCAATCCTCAAATTTAAATTAAACAGGAATTTTACTGCTGTGAAAAAAGTATTTTTCCTCCACTGGTTCTTTTACACTTAAATGATTCAGATCCATCCATCCACTTTCTACTCCAGCCTTCCTGTGGGGGGGCAAAGCGCTTATTGGGCAAATGGCGAGTTTACCCCACCTGTCGCCACCTGTCCATCACAGGGAACCACAGAGACGAACTTGAGAGGCAACGAATAGGAAAGTAAACTGATGGTTTAAAGCAGTGGTGGAAGTCAGAGGAGTCAGCTGTGGCGGCTGGTCGAGTTTTCTCCATAAATTCAAAATAAACGTATAATAAAAACCAATCAAATGTAAACTAAAGGATCACAGCAGTTTATTTACATGAATGCTAACAAGAAAAACAGCATTCTAAAATGTTCTGCAAAGTGCTTTAAATCAGTCCTAGCTGCGTTTATCCAGGCTGGATCAGATCCTGACCTTTGAAAACGGAGTTAGCCTGGCTGCATGCAGTTAGCCTCGTTGCATGCAGTTAGCCTCGCTGCAGGCAGTTAGCCTAGCTGCATGCAGTTAGCCTCGCTGCGTGCAGTTAGCCTCACTGCATGCAGTTAGCCTCGCTGCAGGCAGTTAGCCTAGCTGCATGCAGTTAGCCTTGCTGCAGGCAGTTAGCCTAGCTGCAGGCAGTTAGCCTAGCTGCATGCAGTTAGCCTCGCTGCAGGCAGTTAGCCTAGCTGCATGCAGTTAACCTTGCTGCAGGCAGTTAGCCTAGCTGCATGCAGTTAGCCTAGCTGCAGGCAGTTAGCCTTGCTGCATGCAGTTAGCCTAGCTGCAGGCAGTTAGCCTAGCTGCATGCAGTTAGCCTAGCTGCATACAGTTAGCCTAGCTGTATGCAGTTAGCCTAGCTGCATTACTTACTTACATTTACTCGTCATTAAAGATTTAATATCATGCACTGCTTCAATTCAATTCTATTCAGTGTATTTCTATAGCTCCAATTCACATCAGGTCATCTCAGGTCACTTTATAGATCCAGATCATCCAGATCATCCAGATCATCCAGATCATCCAGTCAGATTGATTCAAAGTTTTCTATCTAAGGAAAACCAGCTAATTGCATCGACTCATTGACTCTTCAGCAATCCCTCACACTAAGCATGCTTGCTAAAATATATTTTCATATATTTCAAAATATAATTTATATTTTATTTTTAAATTATAATTTTCTATGTCTTAAAGACACACCATGTAACTTTTGGCCACTGGGGGCGCTAGACCTGTAACTTTCATGTCTAGCGCCCCTAGTGGCCACAAGCGCCGCAGCAGAGTCACCAAAGTCCTCAGTCAGCCTTCCAGCCTCCTGTCTGCATCATGTGGCCAAAACATTTTGTCGGCCAAAACTCTCCCTGCTTCCAGCAGCTGGCGGCCAGATCAGACGCAGGGATTTAATCGTTGTTTTTCCTGTTTTCTCTGCTCTGCCTCCCCACAGCTGGGCTCCCAGGGTTTTACTGCAGGGCTACACCCCACCTGCTGCTATATTAATGGGGGCAAAAAGGAAACAATACAAACCTATAACTTATCTTAAGGACTGAGATGAAGTTTAGTCAAACCTGTTTCCCCAAATGAAGACGTGAAAAGCAGTTCATCTAAAGCTAAGCTAGCGTTAAATTAGAAAGTCAAAGTTTGTAAAGAACCCACAATACTGTATTGTACTGTACTGTAGGTATTACGGTACCTGCAGGATGGGACTTATGGTTCTGCCCCCCCCCCGGTGTTACCTTCTATTCTAGCGGGAGGTACAGGAGGCGGCAGGAAGGGGCGTGGCCTGGGGACACCGTCCACACTGACTTGGACGATCCTGCCTCTGGCTTCCTGCCAGGTGGCCGAGTTCCGCCTTCCTCGTGACGTTGCTGACATTAGGGGGGGGGGCGGGGGGACTTTGTTTACTTCAGCTGCGGTCAGGAAAGAATGAAAAAGAATCACAATTAAAACCTAAATGATGCTAACTTAGCTAAGCCAGGTGCCATTAAATATGTGGGTTTGTAAAATATTTTCCTTTAGATAAATAAAACTGTCATTTGAAACCAAAAAAGATATTCTTCACAATCTGGTCTGTATTAAATGTGTTGAAGTTTTAATGTTTTATTAGAAGGAAAAAAAACTAATTAATCTGTCACCATATTAGCAAATTTAATACATGTAATGTAAATCATCACATCTGAGTATTGCATTTAGAAATGAAAACTATGTTGCTGAGTTGAGATTTAAAGGTATTCTGGACCCGTTCTCTCTACTTAAAAAGAAAGAGCGAGCGAGAGCGTGCACGAGAAGGAATGGGCTCGTGCACGCTCTCTGTTTAAAGCTGCTGTTCTTACAGCTCAGAGCAGCTAACTGCGTCCGTCCGCCTTAACGCCTAAATCCCTCCATCACTATAGAACAGGGACTATATAGTGAACGTTATAGTGAACTCAGTTAACTGACCGTTCAGACAGACAATCACTGCTTTTCACTCCGTTGGTCACATGACTCCTCCTCCGCCGCGCGGTGCCTGCGCCATCTTTGTTATTAGTCGGGTAGCGACGGCTTATGGCGACAGCGGGCCGCGGGCGCAGTGCTAATATCATCAGCTTTTTTTATTTAGTCTTAGTCACACTGATGAAAATCAGTTTTAGTCAATTTATTGTCATTTTAGTCGACGCTATAAATAATATAAATGTCAGAAACAGCGTTTAGTTCCAGGTTTTATCCAGCAGCCCAGAGGTCATGGATTAG